TTTATCTTTGAGAGAGAGAGACAGAGTGTGAGCAGGGGAGGGGCAGAGAGAGAGGGAGACACAGAATCGGAAGCGGGCTCCAGTCCCCGAGCTGTCAGCACAGAGGCCGACGGGGGGCTCGCACTCACCAGGCATGAGATCATGACCTGAGCTGAAGTCAGATGCTCAACCCGCTGAGCCACCCAGGTGCCCCAGGAGGGGATTTCTAAATGCAAAATGATAGTATGTGAAGAAGAGACTTTTAAAATAAGTCTGGTGGGTTAAGATCTAAACCCAGCCTCAGCTGTATCTCGGAGAGCCGAGATTTCCTGTGTCCCCCTTTCCTGGAAGTCACTCCTGCAGGGACAGTCCACACCAGCACCGAAGGGATGACTCCGCCTGTGCTGGTGCCTTGCGTTTGCCGTCAGCCACCGCCAGCCAGGGTAGCCCGAACCAGGCTGGCTCGCTCCATCGTTCACTGTCCCTGCACCTCGGGCCACTGCTCCCGCGCTCGGCTCTCGCGGGGAAAGCTGTGCGGCGTTTCCCCTGCGGAGCTCAAATCGTCTACGACAGGAAAGCCGTAGTCCGGTCGTACGTTTGGGTCTCACGACGGCCACGGCTGTTGCTCGTGTCAGACACGACGGGCCGTCCCCTCCAGTCTCACCCCGTTTCTCAGACTTTCGTCCCCACGAGAAATTCTTTCGTTCCTCGATGAACAGCCGTACCGCTTCTTGCTGTTTCCTGAGACACACGAGGCCATCAGACAAAAGTAGCGATATTTTCAGAATGTTTCAGACAGGCCTCTGAGGAGCTAAGAAATCATTTCCAGAAAAGATGGGACGCAGGCACTCGGTCTGTGCGGGTTGTGTGGAGTGGCCGTTCTCCGGCCCGGCACGGTGTCGTCACCTGCTCTGCCGCCAGCCCCCGCCCCCTTGCTTACGTCACTTTGGCTACTGGTCTGGATCCCCCAAGCACCCCAGAGCTGCCCAGCAGCATGGGCACAGGGCGCCGACGGGCATATGGGCCGGATGTTAAAAAGCAAAATCAAAGGGAAGGTGTCCGTGTTCTTCTCCAGAAATACTGGGAAGGGAGGGTGTAGCTTTCTAGGAGTTTCGATTTAACAGTCTGGATTCTCCTGGGCCTGGCGAAAGGAGTTGTGTGTAACGTGCCTTTCCTTTTCCCGCAGCAGAGAATGGTGACGGTATCCACATAGTTTTGAAGTGACGTCTTACTTAGTCTGAACTATATTCAGTACCAAATAAAGTCACGCTTAAAAGTGTGTGAAGACTGAATCCAAGAAGTCTTGGGATTGGATTTTACCGTATGAAATGTTTCATATTGAAAACACAAGATGACCTTTCTAATGAGCTGTATGAGAGGCGAATCTCCTCACTGTCACTGCCATGGCCAAGCATCCTCGTGAGAGTGAGCACGTCGGGACGGCACGCGTGCAGCTCTGGGGGCCACGCGCAGGCCCGGCTGCTGCTTCTCTGGCAGAGGCCAGTAGGTACAGTTCCTAGAGGCAGCCTTTGCTGTCTCTCTACACTGTATGCGGTTTGGAAATGAATGTAAAAACGTACCGTGGGCATTTACCTTTCTGTGCCAGTTTGGCTTTTGTGGCCTGAACCTTATGCCGACCCGGGGCGGGGGTGGGGGACAGTGCCGTCGTGGAACCAGCACGGAGTCTGTCTGCAGAGGCCACGTGCTGACACCGTGATTGGTGGTCAGGTAAGAGTCTTGGCACCTTCTCGGAAGAAATCACGTAAGGGTGTGGGTGACGGGATCATGCCAGATCGGGGAAGACCCGAGCCAGGAAGGCGGGTGTGAAGCAAACTGCATTATCAAGAGTACCTTGGTGAGAGGATCAGTGTAAATCCTAATAGGTACAAAGACTTTTGTGTTTCTGCTTCGTCACAGATTTCTTGAAAAACCTTTTGCTTCCGCTTCCATTTTTAGCATTTTGTTTCTGGTTTTTATTTTTGAAGCCCCAATGCCTTTTAAACTCATGTGGCGTTCCTCCCTTTCGCTGTTTCCGACCACCCCGTCCCTCCTCGCCCTGAACCGTCCTGTCCTTAAGTGTTTTTAAAGCCCTACCCCAGACCGTGGAACCAGGTGCCCCGGGGAGGGGGAAGACTATGGTAGTTTTCTGACTTGCCGTTGAGGGGTCTTTGTTATCAATGAGTTGAAATTATCGCGGCAAACCAGATGTCATAAATGAAACACTAAACTGTGCCGTAAAAATGGCCCACGCTTCTGAGATATTGAGCTCTAGTACAATCATGGTAAACGTTCTGGTGATTATTTAAGAGGCTTTTGGCTACACCACACGATGGCCTCTTTTTCTTAAAAAGGGTGCGTCTTCCACAAAACCAAATGCTTGTCTCTCAAAGGGACTCCACGGCTTTTGCGATTTCCTCCTCGTTCTCGCTTCCCTCCTCACACGCACCAGCAGGCACCTGTGAAACCTGTGGTGGAGCAGACCGTGTTTTAAACTTCGGTGCCCTTTAGCTATAGCACCTCTGTCCACGCGCCTGGCTGTCTTGGTTTTGAACGTGCCGATTCTTATCTTTGTTCGGGCAGAAATAGGAGTGATTTGGACTCTGAAATCCCTCCCAGAAGACAGACCACTTCAGTGGGTAAAAAGCTTTGACGGTTCGTGTTTTATTCTTCAAGGGGGTTAAGACGCACGGTCTCTAAACACTTTCATCTTTAGTTTGAAAATATCTGTAACTCTGTAGACCCTGAAGCGGGGGAACGTTCCTTTCTGTCATCTCCCTTTGCTTTTGTATGAACACATGTTTTCTGTACCAATCACTTGGGAAAGAAGTGAGCATATCTCTTGTTTTTAGAGTTCTGCTTGTCTATTTAGCATTCCTTTTTGAGTCTCAAGATATACGGAACAATAAATGTCATTTAATGCTGTGTGCTATTTCGAATTCCTCATCAGGTGTTAGAAATGGGGTTGAAAACACTTTAGAAGCTCATCGAACTTGAAATTCTACCAAGCAGCATTGAAAATTAGTCTGTCCCAGTGAAGCAGGTTAAATTATGGCACCAGCAAATTTGCTACTTTGTTTTTTTAACAGTAGGATGTATACATTTCAGTAAAATAAATGTTTTCCGATTGTTTTGCACACGCGTGTCTCATTTAAACCCTAGTTCCTGACCGTGTCCCCTCGAGTCCAGAATTGAGGGGTTCCGGGCATGTGCTGAGCACACCGAAGTCCAGATGTTGCGAGAGGTGAGGCCTGTTGTGTGGTTTTCTCTTCGGTCTGTTTTCTCAAAGCTGATGCGGCAGACTTTTCCATCGACTGCTCCCCACACAGAGAGGAAGCGGACCCAGCCCGCGCCTCTGGGAAACCTCACCTGGGGTTCTGAATGAGGTCACGGGTCACTGAGGAGGGAGTCCAGGAACCCCAGTGGGCTGTGCCCTGGCTCAAGAGAGCCCATGTATAGAAAGCCCTGGTCGTGCGAATTTTTAAAACGGAGACTATAATTACTGAAGCAAGTCTGTGTTCCCCGCTCTTTGTTTTACTTAAATAGCTTCCTTCCACAGTCACGCCGCCACACAAAGTGGCACAAATGTATTTTCAAACAACTGCTGTGGTGTGTGCACACTTCCGGCCAGGGAATGCCAGAGGATGTGTCCTCGGGCGCTGAAGTCATCAGGACTCGAACGCTTATTCCGAGACCTTGTTAAAGTGACTTAAGGGGTCGCGCAGGTACCGCTTTCTCTCCCACTGTACCCTAAATGCTCCTGACCGGTCCCTCTGACCGACTGCTGGTCTGGGGGAGACAAGTGCCCCGGCTTTGCTGTCCCACCGCAGCCTCCCATGAGCTCTGTGCTCCTCGTTGTGGGGAGCGGTCGCTAGGAAGGGTCATCAGCTGCCATGAACGCTGAAGTTTACAATGTGAGGGTGGTGACGGGTTTCTAGTCTTAATATCACACGTGTGGACAGCCCAGAGTGGAAACTAGAGCTTATCAGATTTTAAATAATATTAGGAAGGTCTGAGTTGGGAAAGTGGTTTTGCTCAGATTTGTCTGCCATACGATTATAGCAATAAAACCCTCTGACTTGAGCATTGCTATGGTTTATTCATTTTTATATTATGAGTCTGAAAGGTGCCAACACTTTGATCTGAGTTTTAAGTGTGTACAATTTTTGAATAGTTCTGGTGTAATTTGATTTCTAAGATTTTAAAATAAACTTGGAAAAAATCACACCCATTCTACATGCATCCATTCATTATTTTTAATTGATTATATTGTAGATAACTTAAGCCGTCGTTCTGTTTCTTTAAGGTCCCCCAGGTCTTGCGAGAGATGGCGTGATTAGCTCTTCTCCTATAACGAAAACGCACTCCGTGCCGCGGCACGGGCCACAGCCCCTGTCTGGTCAGGCAGCGACACAACCTCCGAGCCGTGTGTGTTTAGCTCTCGGTTCCCGAAAGTGTGTGTGACAAGCTGACGGACACAGAAGGGTGAAGACCCTGCCCCACCCAGTTCAGAGTCCTCATTTCTTTGGTGTCTCGTGGAAACCGGCTAACTTGCCTCCCACCCAAGGCTCTACATACAAAACCAGCAGGCATCGTGGATTTGCAGTACAGTCACTTTGAGAAAGTTGCTATTTAGTCTTCAAAGTGGAAAAGTCCTGCTCGTCAAAATGGAATCAGTGTGAATTAAAGTAGGCCGCTGGCTTAAGTATCAGCTAGAAGATCAACAGCTTATTTCTTCTGCTCAATTTGTGCTAACACTGATGGTCGGTCTGAGGAACGCCGACAAAGCCAAAGGCGGGACTTCCTAAGAAGGCCCCCACCTCTCCCGTGTGGCCCAGCTACCCCGAGGCCGCTCTTGCCTCGTGCCACCAGACTCTGGGCTGTGACGTGATTGCCTCGTAGCAGAATAAAGGTGAAAACTCTCACCGGAGTTACTGCGGTCCCTACCGGAGTCTTTTACCTGAACGTGCCTTCCCAATGGAGAACCAAGAGATCTGGGCGAAGGTGGGGCAGGTCGGGAAGACTTGGGTCTTCTCTGGAGGAAGGGACACCTCGCGCCTTGGGCTTGGCCGCTGCCATCAGAGAATGACACAGCACCTGCACAGTCGCTGTCCGCTTCCTCCCACTGCTGTCGGGGGGGTGACGGGAGCAAAGTAGGCGTGGACTTTGACGTGAGGGAGCTGAGCCTGGAAGCAGAAAAGCCCGACCTGGAGTCATCGCTACACGGGGGTTCTGAGGATTAGAGGCACAGTCCTAGACGAGCCCATGCGTTCTCCACACAGAATCGACCCCCTTCCCCTCGGGCAGGTAGTTCAGAGAGAATTCCCAGTGCAGGCAAGAGCTGCTGCTGACACACTGTCCCCCTAAGCCAGCACCTTCCAAAGAGCACAGAATACGCCCTGGTGTCGTCACCAGCCCTGGATGCAGACTGAGCACGGGCCTCACAGCTTTGGCACCCGGGGCAGCTCTGGGAGGGAGATGCAAAGCTCAGAGCGCCTTCAGGAAGACAAGGTAAACTGCCTGGGGGTTGGGGAAGCCACATTCTCCTGAAGCCCTCTCATCTGGAAAGTAACCAAGACCCCGGTCTCCTTCCTGCCGGTGACGGCCATAAGGCTCCTTCCTCAGGATTCCGATCAGACTACGAGGAACCTCAGACCAACACCGTTCTGGAAGTGGAAACTGCCAGGGTGAGGTCTACTATGGAAATTTTGGACAGGGAGACTCCTGTTCAGCCTGCCAGTCTGCAGAATACGGGCTGAGGGTAAAATGTGGGGAGCGGACGTTGATTCTTGGCGTGTTTGCCGTTAGCTTCGAAAGCGCCAGGGGACGCGTGCCCCCCGCTTACCCGCATCCGCTTGATGCCCGCGCGGGTGACCTGCTGGCAGTCGTACAGCTCCAGGCGCTCCAGGCCGCGGCAGTTCTCCAGGTGCTCCAGGGCCACGTCGGTGATGAGGAGACAGTTGTCTAGTTCTAGGACCCGCAGCCTCTCGTGGCCGCAGGTGCTGTTGCTCAGGTGCAGGATCCCATCATCTGTGATGAGCTCACAGTGGGACAGACTCTGGAACAGGGAGGAAAGCGCAGATGTTCGCAAGACCCGAGGCCTAAAGCGCGGAAGCTGGCCTGAGCAGGGCCTTGTGGCGGCCGCTTATCAACAGGATCAAACACAAAGCCTCGGGGTCCTCCAGCCATGGGTTTGCTGTTCTCTCATCTTTCCAACTGCAGGTGATCCAGTTAAAAGATGACGTGAGAGGATCTTGTCTCCCCTCCTCCCGTCAGCACCCTGATTCTACGGGTACGTAAAGGACAGCCTGATCTGACAAAAGAGCCCTAAAAGCTAGCTGAGTGACTCACACACCAAAAGAAGGCCCGTGTCACGGCGGGTGGGAGAAGCTGGGACACCGTCTTGCCGTAAGTCCCACCCCCAGTGCAGAGACCCACGGCTGGGAGAGAGCTCAAAACCCGGAGTTTCTCTCCGGGGAGCAAAGGGCTTGCACCCCACGTTGGGCACCCTAACTTTTAAAATCTGTGCCTGAGAGACAGGCCCCTAAAACATCTAGCTTTGAACACCAACAGGCTCACATCCACCAGGCCCACGAGGCTAGTGATTCCAGAAATGGCTCTTAAAGGGCTCACACACTTGGACTGCCCCGCCCCAGAGCCCGGCTTGGAAGTGGCCCATTGAGGGCCGCCTGGACTCTGTATGGGAGCACTGGCCTGAGGCCCACGCATCTGGTCTGAGACACACTCGGGGCCTGCTGGGACGCTCTAGGCCCAGGGACTGGCGGCCACCGCCTTCGTGTGCTCCCTCTGTCTTGCTCCGGCTGGAGAAGGCTTAAAAACAAAAAAGACAAGGAATTCTAGGCTTTTTTTCCCCAATTTCTCTTTCTCGGTGGGCACCTTCTCTACAGCCCCCCTCGGTCACTCCTCAGCCAGTGGGCACCAACTTCTCCCTCTCCCTGTGCTGTGCTTCAGAACACCATTATCTGTCCAGAAGGAACTTCTGTGTGTCCAGTGCCCGGGTTTCCCACCTGGCACCCTGGTGTTCCGGCTGCTAGAGAACAACACCTCTGCGTCTCCTGGCTCTGGGGGCCAGCGGGCCTTCTGCTGGTGGGCCGCACGGGAAGAGAGGGTAAATGGCCAACAGCCCCAGGGCACAGCACGAGACAACAGGCCCAGGAGTCCTGTCTACGAAAGAGGCCTCGTGGCTCACCCTCGCAGCGGCAGCCTGAGGGGCAGGCTTCCAATAAACCCATCTCAGGGCTGCCTGCCCTCCTCCCCGGGGACCTCGGGAGGCGCCCTCTTCTCCCCCCGCCGCCACACTCCAGAGCGCCGGGATCTCCTGGAGGGGAGCTTTTACACGCATCTGGTGTCCCGGTCTTTGGGGCCGGCCACTCGGGGATGCCCCTTGGTCACCTGGCCCTGCTGGCCAGAGGGGCTTACGTTCCTGGGTCCCACGGGACTTCGATCATCAGCTCTTCCCTGGCAGGCTACCGCCCCCAGGACGTTTCCCAGAAAGCAGACCGAAACGCACCCCCGCCCGACCACAAAGAGCTGTACGTGCTTGAGCTGCAGCTTAGTCCTGCAGGGTGGGCTTCGAGTTCGGCACGTGCCCAAGGTCTGCCACGTGTTCTCAGGTAACCAGGCCGGTGCACGCCATCTCTGCGCGCACGGTCCCCCCGCCTCACTGCAGCGTGCCGGTATCTCCCACACAGGCGTTTGTACGCTTGTGTGGAGTCCTGGTCTTTGCAGCTGCCACCCAGAGGACACCTAGATCACCTGGCCCTGGTGGCCAGTGGAGTTCCACTGATAATGAGGACCTGGCTGAACAAGAAGGTCCATCTTCTACATAAGCTCACTCCATGAAGAGGAGAGGCCTTTTTATCTAGGAACCTCAGGAAAAACACCTTACTAAAAGATAAATGGGGTGCCTGGTTGACTGCCAGGTAAGCATCCGATTCCTGATCTTGGCTCGGGTCATGATCTCACAGTTTCCTGAGTCTGAGCTCCAGATCGGGTTCTGGGCTGAGAGCATGGAGCCTGCCTCGGGTTCTCTCTGTCTCTGCCCCTCCTCCACTCGTGCCATCTCTCTCTCTCTCTCTCTCTCTCTCTCTCAGAATAATAAACATTACGACATTTAAGAAGAAGGATAAGTAATGGTCATAAAGATGCTCACCATACCCTGGAGGAAAATGGATCAATACACAACTTCAACAAAGAAAATATAAGAAAACACCAAACAGGGGTCATGGAGCTGAAGAATATAGTAACAGAAAAAATCACTAGAGAGGTTCAAGAGCGGACTAGATAAATCAGAAGGACCAGTGAACCTGAAGACAGAGCGGTAGAACTCACCCAAACAGAACAACAAAAAGAAACACAGATGAAAAAAAGTGGGGATAGCTTAAGGGATATGTGGGACAACATCAAGTGGATTAACATTCATATCATAGGGCTCTCAGTAGGAGGAGAGAGAGAGAGAAAGGAGAAAACTTATTTCAAGGAATGGTGGCTAAAAACCTCAACCTAGGGCAAAAAAACCCCCAGACATCCAGATCCAGGAAGTACAGAGTTCTAAAAATATGAACCCCAAGAGATGCACACCCAGACACATAATTAAAATGTCAAAAGTTAAAGAGAACCTTAAAATCAGCAAGATTCAAAACTTGTTATGCACAAAGGAGCCCCCATAAGACTAACAGCAGGTTTTTCAGCAGAAACTGCAGGACAGAAGGGAGTGGCATGAAATCCAAAGTACTGAAAGAAAAAATACTTCCAACCAAGAATACTCCTAACTACCAAAGTTATTCAGAATTGGAGATAGAGTTTTCCAGACAAGCTAAGGCTAAAGGAGTTAATCATCTTACTAAACCAACTCACAAAAAATATTAAAAAGACTTTGTTAAGCTGAAAAGAAAGGGCACTAATTAATAACATGAGAAAGGCTAAATCTCACTGGTCAAGGTAAATATGGAGTAATGGTGTAGTTAGTTTGAAGGCTAAAAGACAAAAGTAGTAAAAAAAAAAAAAATTCTAAAACTACAAACAAGGGATACACAAGATAGAAAGATGTAAAATGTGACACTGGAAACAAAACGGGAGGGAGGGAGAGTAAAAATGTAGAATTTCAGAACGTATTCAAATATAAGTTATCATAAAATAGACTGTTACAAATACAAGTTGTTGGGGCACCTGGGGTGGCTCAGTCCTCTGAGCGTCCGACTTCGGCTCAGGTCACGATCTCACAGCTCGTGGGTTCGAGCCCCGTGTCGGGCTCTGTGCCGACAGCTGGGAGCCCGGAGCCTGCTTCAGATTCTGTGTCTCCCTCTCGCTCTGCCCCTACCCCACTCATGCTCTGTTTCTCTGTCTCAAAAATAAACAAACATAAAGCATATATAAGTTGTTATATGTAACAACCTCATGGTGACCACAAAGCAAAAATCTGTGATACACAAAAGATAAAAGGATCTAAGTGTACCACTAAAAGTCATCAAACCACAAAGGAAGAGAACAAAAGAAGAAAGGAACAAGAGGAACTACAAAACAGCTAGAAAACAATTACCATAATGGCAATAAAGACACAACTATCAATAATTACTTTAAATGGACTAAATTCTTCAATCAAAAGATACAGAGTACCTGAATGAATTAAAAAAAAAAAAAAAAAGACCCATCTATATGCTGCCTATAAGTGACTCTCTAAGTGTAAGGACACACACAGACCAAAAGTAAAGGGATGGACAAAGATACCCCGTGCAAATGAAAATCAAAAGAAAGTTGGAGGTAGCCATACATACATCAGACAAAATAACACTTTAAAACACCATAATTACAAAGAAGAGCATTACATAGTGATAAAGGGGTCAATCCAACAAGAGCATAAACATGGGTAAATATTTATGCACCTAATATAGGAGCATCTAAATATATAAAACATATATTAACAGATCTAAAGGAAGAAACAGCAATACGATAAGAGTAGAGGGCATTTATACCCCAGTTACATCAACAGACCATCCAGACAAAATCAGTAAGGAAATACCAGCCATACACAACATGTTAGAACAGATGGACTTACCAGATGTATACACAACATTCTATCCAAGCAGAACACACGTTCTTCTCAAGTGCACGTGGAACAATTCTCCAGAACAGATCACATGTTAGGACATGTAAGAAATCTTAATAAATCTTAAGAAGACTGAAACCATATCAAGCATTTTTTCCAACCATGATGGTATGAAAGTAGAAATCAATTATAAGAAGAAAAGTGGAAAATTTACAAATACATGGGTCTGTAACATGTTACTGAACCACCAGTGGGTCAAAGAAGAAATCAAAAGAGAAGTTTTAAAAATGCCTGAGACAAATGAAAATGGAAATGGAATATACCAAAATTTAGGGGATACAGCAAAAGCACTTCCAGGGCAACCGCTTGTTGCAATAAAGGCCTACCTACCTCAAGGAATGAGCAAAGTCAAACCATCTAACTTAACGCCTTAAGGAACTACAGGAAGATGACAAAGCCCAACATTAGTACAAGAAGCGAAATAAAGATCAGAGAAGACATGAATGAGAGACAGAAAAGAGCAATGACATGAAGGGCTGGTTCTATGAAAAGATATAATTAACAAGCCTTTAGCTAGACTCACCAAGAAAAAAAAGAGAAGGATCAACTACATAAACTCAGGAACAAAAGAGGAGACATTCTAAATGACACCATAGAAGTACAACAAATCGTAAGACACTAAGAACGATTATATGCCAACAAATTGGACAACTTAGAAGAAACGAGTACATTCACAGAAGCAAAGAACCAACCAAAACTGAGTCATAAAGAAATAGAAAATCTGAACAGACTGATTACTAATAAGGGATTGAATCAGTAATCTAAACTCTGCCAACAAAGGTAAGTCCGAGACCATACTGCTTCATTGGTGAATTCTATCAAATATTTTAAAGAAGAATTAATACCAAACCTTCTCAAACTCTTCCAAAAAAGAAGAGGGAACATTTCCAAACTCATTTTGCAAAGCAAGCATTGCCCTGATAACTAAAACT